AAAAAAAAAAAAAAAAAAAAAAAGAAAAACAACAGACTTCTATAGATGGGGGATCAAAGGGGTGGGGAAGGGAGAGAGGGATAATAGGATGGAAAATCATCAACATATGTCATATGCATGTGAAACTTTTTAAAATGGACCTCACTATTCTGTATTACTAACAGACACTAATAAAAAGAAGACTATAGCTTAAGATTCAGTGAAGTAGAAATTAGCAATTAATAGGCATAAATTTCAAGTAAAGTAAAATGAATAAACCTAGAGATTGTCTCTTAAGGATTTTGGCTATAGTCAACAATAATGTATATTTTAAATTCATTTAAAAGATTGATATGTTGTGCTCTTAGCACAATAAAAAAAGTCCAGGGCAAATACTATATCTAATTTTGAGACTAGTAGAGGGAAAGGGAATCTTGAGATGGAAGTTTTAATGACTGGAAAATCTGCTCTGCATCATGAGAAAATTTTTAAGCTGAGAATACTCTCCAAATAATGCCTATTGTTTTAATTAACTCAAAGCATTTGCCAAAATTTTAGTGATTCTGTGGCAAACACTGAGTATGAAAATAAAAACTCTGGTAGTCAAATAGTACCTCGTGAACCAAAATAAAATTTCCATTCATAGAGCAGGGCTTAAAGAAAATAAAAGTAGCCTCTGGAGTGGATAAACATAATTAACAAATCCACAAAATTGTGGAATTATTCCACATTTTTGTACATAGACAGAGAAGCCATTTTTTAAAAATATGTATTTGAAAGAGAACTTAGTAGCCTACTTGGAAAACTACAACTAAATGGTGGAGTTGACATAAAAGAACCATATTAAAATCTATTTCAAAGATTTTTCTTCATTGTAATTTTGCATTTTCCCATAGGATTATCCCATTGTCTTAGTTACTTTTCTCATTCCTGAGACAAAATACCCAACACCTAATGTTAAAGAATGGTTTATTTTGGCTCACACTTTGTAGGAGTTTCAGCCCATAATCAGCTAGATTTAAGGCAGGGTAGTATGGCAGAGGGGCATTGAAGAGTGGGTAGGAGGTAGTAGAAGACTAGCAGCACCCTTCATTCTGTCCCTTATATTCCACCCATGCTATCTGCCCATAGGGTGGGTAGTATTCACACCCAGGGTGGGGCACTCATACCCTTAATCCCAGTATCACACACCCTAGATCCAGCCACCTCCAAAATCCCACATATGATTAAATGAGAATTTAAGTGGACATCAAGATACTTCCACTCCTGCCCCTCCAAATACTCATGCACAATGCTTTATACAAAAGGCATTTAGTCGTCTCTAAGGGTTGCCAAAAGTCCTAACAGCTTCAACATTGCTGGAAAGTACAAGTATAAAGTCTTTTCTGAGATTTAAGGCAAACTCTTTGCTGTGAGCCTCTATACAAATGAAAGGAAAGTTAAACACTTCCAACATACAAAAGACAAATTTTGGTACCAGGGAAGTGGAGTTATTGCTGTGATTGTACTTGACCCTGTGGTTTAGGACCCTTTGAAAGTAGCTTATGGAAAGAGTTTCGAAAGATTTTGAAGTGCCAGCTAAAGAAGTAGCCCTGAAATGCTTTGAATTGTATATGATATGGAGAATCTGATCTGAGCTCAGAAGACCAGAATGCTGATAGAAATGCATTCATCAAAAACCAGGCTCAAGTGTTTTCAGTTAGGTACAAAGACTGTACTGGCTGCTGGAATACAGATGATGTATGTTATGCTTTGGGAGAAAGTTTATTTGCATTTTGCACTTATCCAGAGACCTTGCTTGAGACAAATGTAAAATGGAAGACTAATGTTTTAGAAGAAATTTCAAAGCAGTCTAATGTTGAAGCAGTGGCATGACTACAATGGGGCCTTTAGTCAGATTTATGTTGAGAATTGAGAGCAAAGAGCCCAGAAGAATGATTTAAAATGTGAGTTTGTCCAGAAAGGAAGCTCTGGTAAAGTCACAGACTGCAAGGATGGAGAAACGGAGAATTTGGTTGCTGAACGAGAACAGTACAATAGAAAAGAGCCTGAGGACGTCAGAAGAACCCTCAAAATATCAAACTTGAAAGATTTTGAGAAGAAAGCCCTAGAGCACCAAGTTTCTGGATGGCAGTGGCCTAGAGAAGATTTTCTTCAGGATTTGGTTCTTAGTGCTCAGCAATTCAGACACTTTGATCCCTCTAGCCAAGAAAGTAGGAAGCCTGGCTACTTCTCCAGTCGGCAGCACACCTTGGCATCATCCAAGTGCTGGTTTTAGGTGCATGAGTTGTGGAGTCAGCAAAGCTTCCACCCAGACTTCAGAAGACCTGGGAGTCCAGGCAATGTGCCCTTGAGAGGGCCATGTATGAAGCTGTGAGTGTGAAGCCATGGGTGCAGTGGAGACCCTGATGGTTGGAGAAGCCAGGAATATGGATTGTCTTAGGAAAGCTGCAAGGAGTAAGCAAAGCCAGCCCAAGAGAGAAGGAAGCCATGTGAGATGCAACCACCTGCAGTGCCATAGGAGCAGAAGCAACCAAGCCCTTTGGCGTTCACATCCATTGTGCCATAGCCTGCCTCAGACGCTGGACATGGAAATACGTGACAATGTTTTCCCTGCTGGATTTTGAACTTACTTTCATTCCATTCATTTCTATTGCCCTATTTGAAATGAGAATGTTTATCTTGTGCCAGTGTATGTTGGGTTTCAACTTTTTTTTCATTTGTATGGGGGCTTGCAGCTAAGAGTTTGCCTTAAATCTCAGAGGAGAATTTGGACTTGCAATTTTCAGCAACTCTGAATCTGTTAGGACTTTGGCCACTCTTAGTGATGGACTAACTTCCATCTACATAAAGGGATATGCATGAGATTTTTGAAAGTCAGAGGCTGAATGTTATGGCTTGTGTCTAGATGTACTCCAAAATTCTAATGTGTTCATAGGTAGGGATTTTCACAGGTGGCTGATTCTAGGGTGTGTGATGCTGAGATTAAATTGTGCAATCGTAGGATTAAGGGTGCATGATTACTAAATTATTCTAATAATTGGTTTAACTACCTATAGTTCTGGGTATGGATGATGGAAAGACCCACCCTGGGTGTGGGTAGCACCACACAAATGGTTGGTAGACTAGAAGGGATAAAATGGAGAGGGTTTGACCCTGCCGCTTGCTGGTGCTTCTGTTGCTGCTGCTAGTTGCTGCTACTTCACTACTTTGCTGCTTTCTGCCTGCCCTACTGTGCCATGGACTGTTTCTCCACTGCAATGCCCTTCTGCCCTGCCACTGTGCTGTAGAACCAGATGACTATGGTCTGAAACATTTACAAACTGTGAGCTAAATAAAACTTTCCTTCTTTAACTTGTGTGTTGGGTGTTTTCCCTCAGCAATGAGAAAAGTAACTAAGACACCCATCATATTGCTCACCCATGTTTACAGCAGCACAGTTGGTAATAGCTAAAACTTGGAAACAGCCCACTTGCCCATCAACTGGAGACTGGTCAAATCTGGTATTCATCTTTAAGGATGTCTATGTGTAGCACCTCTAGCTTTAGTAAGAATGTGGTTTTTAGATTACAACTTCTTACCTTATAATTATATCTTATATTTTGTAATTTCTTAAATTTATCCACCTAGATATTGCTCATTTGGACCTATTCATCCCATAGTTCTTTGGAAGAGAATGGTGGAGACTGTTATATTTGAATACATGTCAACAAACACCCTTCATAAACCAGCATATAATTTGAAAATATCCTAGAAACATCTTTATGGATTATAAATGAGTATTTTTAAAGGCTTCTTGGAAAAATATATTTTTACTTACCAAAATTATGAGAAAATAGCCCACTTCCTGCCAGGTCAAGTGGCCTGATTTCACTCAGATTTTACTTTGGCTTAGAAAGTTTAATGATTTGTTTCCAAGTTGTAAAAAAATATAGCCCTCATGAAAGATTATCTGGAAAATCCTCCAATTCCTTGATCTTTTTCCTTTTATTCATATGTTTCCTTTATCCTTACAGTGAAAATTTTAAATTTCACATCTTCCCCTAACTCTTTTAATTGAAATGTATCCTGTTGTAACATTCATATATTCCCATAAGGAACGTAAATATTATGTACTATACTAATAAAAATTTTTAATAAAAAATAAACTTAAGGGGCTGGGGATTTAGCTCAGTGGTTCTGCTGTCTGCCCTGTAAGCACAAGGACCCAAGTTTGATCTCTGGTACAAAAAAAAACACTTAATATCAGAATTCTCAGTTATTCTCCTGCTTTCCAATATGAAATGGTCATATTTTATGAATATTTTTATGAATATATACTTTCAGTGATTCTAAATTGTAATGTCAGCTTATTTACTAACAATTATAATTGGTCTCTGTGTCCTAGGGAGGAGCTCACAAATCCAAATGCACAAGTAAACAAAGACCTGAAAACATCTACATCAGGTACCTTGCTTCTTGTTTATACTGTTATTTAAGTCATATGTTGCATCCTTGTAAACTGAAAATTTCCTGGGGTATTTGAAACTCCTAGTTGACATGCTCACTTATAATACGTTCCTCAGAAACAGAAGAGTTGATATCGCTGTAAGCCTGAAGGATGTGGTGGCCTTGCTCCTCAGAATTTTGAAAAGAAAAGATTTTGTCATTAAGTCATTCATTAAAAAGCTGATTGGTTAATGACCCTTAGAGCTTAAGGATATACTTGCTTTTTTCTTCTCCCTTCTAGACTAGATTCAAAAAGTACGTGGCCCCCTCTCTAAATTTCATAGACTCCTAACCCCTCTTCTACCAACCCTTAGCATTACCTTTATATGAAAATTTTCACCCAAGAGGCAGTCATGCATGGCCACATATTTTCCTGAAGAATAATCGATGTGTGGAAATAGAGATTTGGGGTTCAAGGAAACCAAAGTGGTCCCCATTACTTCCCTTTCTCAAAAATCACCCCCTCTGATGTGAAGCAAGCCTCAGTACTCTAGGCCATAAAGGAGTAAGGCCAGAGACAATGAGTAATAATTGAGTCGCTTCTATTGGACAGTGCTGTGGTAGGTAGTTTAAAATGTAGGGGCAAAATACATTGTTCCCACCCTTATACTACCATATTATTTGACTTGCCAGCTTCTATGGACTTCTGTTGCTCCTGGTGGGCCTCTGGATTAATTAAAGAAAATATACCAGTCAGAAAACTTATACCCATGTTATTTTTCATGAAAAATAAGTATTTTGAAAACCAGATTGTCATGTATAGAGCAGCATTTAATAGCATACATGCCTTATATCAACCCATAAAGACCCTTTATCCCACCCACAATACTAGACTCACAGGGAAAAACACATTCTCTCTCATCTGCCCATCTTCAGTGATATTCATAAACAAAGTTTCTTTAGAAAGCTTCAAACCCCAGATATGTGTCAGAATGGCTTTCCAGTCATAAAGGGTAGAGCTGTGCACATCCCCATGAAGATCTGCTCAGCTGAGTATTACTCATGGGATGGCTGACTAGTTGTCCAGTACAAAATAGAAGTTTTGATGTGATACTCAAAAGTTCTTGCTACTCACAGAAAATAAAAACCAGTTTAAGTTTCTCCTACAGACCCAAAAGAGTAAAGGCCATATTAAGAAGGAACTAAATAGGAATGAGAAACGTACTGTATTGGAAACTGGGAGAGAGTACTAACTAGGTGAAAGGATTAATTAATTAGGGGTAGTCCAGGAAAACCATTGACTTGCCATGCAGATAAAACAACGACAACAACACCAACAAAAAAAATGGCAAAATTCATTCAATATATAATCTACACACTTTTCATAGATCCAGGAACCCCTACTTTTTATTGGTATTATTAAAGTCAGAAGACTTATTAAAAAGGCTTAGGGTTTGCTCTTTAGTTCTTTAAACATTCTACTTTTATTAAACTTATAAGGTTCAAGAGGATATTAAAATGAAAACTAGATTTTTAAAGTATTTACTTAATAAAACCTGGCTTACAGTCAGGAAGATTTTTGTTCAGTAAAAAATACTTGCACATCTACTATAGTAAAAGTTTATTAAATCCAAATAAAAGTGCTCTTCTTAAGTGCTGAGGAGCCAGGAATTTAGCTCAGTGGTTCCACCACCTGACTCTTAAGTGGGAGCTCCTGAGTTCAATCCCTGGTACAAAAACAAAAACAAAAACAAAAACAACAACAAAAAAACTGTACAACTTAAGTGCTGAGGAGAATGAATAAATTTTAAAACCTAATTCAAACTGCATTTTACCTCAGTAGCTTATGGCAGAAGCACAAGAACACATTTAATAAAATACTGTGCTTCTTTTTTTCTCTCATTGAGTTTATTGATACATTTTATGTATACAGTACAGTTACACTCATCATTGGGATCTTGTACCTTTGCATGACAGGTCTCGGTTCTCATTTTTCCCCATACCCCTTCCCTCCCCACACCTCCTCCTTCCTTCCCTATTTACAAATACTTTATTTCCATTTTCTCATTTTTTTCTTTTCCCTTATTTCCTTCCCCTACCCTTCCCACTTCCCGTACACCTTTAGCCCTTTTCTTCCTATTTCACATTGTCCTTTTTCAGTTGAAAAATGTTTATCAAGTAGATGAGATATGTAAGACACTGAAAGCAGTGATGAAATAAACTGATCACCTTCTCCTTGGTAGAGAGGGAATAAGAGATGAGTTTCTATTTTTTTCACTCATACAGGTATTGCTGAGATGAAACTAAATGTGAAATGAAGTAAATCTGTTTCAAAAGGCACTTAATGTCACCTGCAGAGGAAATGAAAAAACCAACAAGTGAAGTGGTAATCATTATTCCAAATAGAAGCATCTATAATGTCAAGCTATTGTGTTAAATTCTGGGCAGAAAATAAAAAAAATACCTTGAAAGAAGGATACTTGCTTATTTTTTTTTTATTGAGTTTATTGGTACATTTAGGGATACAGTACAGTTACATTCATTGTTGGGATCATGTACCTTTACATGGCAAGTCTTGATTCTCATTTTTTTCCCCTTACCTCTGCCCTCCCTTCACCCCCTCCTCCCCTCCCCATCTACAAACACTTTATTTTCGTCTTTTCATTCTCTCACATTTTTTTCTTTTCCCTTTTTGTTCTTCCCCTACGTATCACACCTTCCCTACATCTTTAGCTCCTTTCCTCCCATTTCTAAATGTCAGTAATCTTATTAGAATCTTATGCATTGTTGCAGAATATTCACACCAGGGAAACTATTCGGTATTTACACATGTGGGACTTATTTATTTCACTTAGGAGTATATCTTCAATATGTATCCATTTTCCTATGAATGAATCTATTCTCTCGCTCTTTATGGCTGAGTAATATTCCATTTTATAGAAAAACCACATCTTCTTTATCCAGTTTCCAACGGATGGGCAAATAGGTTGTTTCCAAGATTTAGCTATTACAAACTGTGCCGCTATAAACATGGGTGCACATACTTCTCTGTGATATGATTCTTTTAGTTCTCTTGGAAAGATACCCAACAGAGGGATGGCTGGGTCAAATGGAACCTCCAGTCCAAGCTCTTTGAGGTATCTCCATATTGATTTCCATAGTGGTTGCACTAGTCTGCACTCCCACCAACAATGGAGGAGGGTTCCTTTCTCCCCACAACCCCGCCAACATTTGTTATTGTGTGATTTCTTGATAGCAGCCATTCTTTGTGGGGTGAGGTGGAATCTCAGTGTTGTTTTCATCTGCATCTCTCGAATGACCAGTGATGTGGAACATTTTTTCATATATTTTCTTGCTGCTTTCACTTCTTTGTATGAGAAATGTCTGTTCATTTCGGATGCCCATTTTTGGATCGGGTCTTTATATTTGGGGGGACTGATTGTTTTGAGTTCTTTATATATCCTTGATAATAGTCCTTTGTCTGAGGTACAGCTGGTAAAAATTTTTTCCCACATTGTAGATTGTCTCTTAGTTCTGCTAATGGTTTCTTTTGAAGTACAGAAGCTTTTTAGTAAGATGAGATCCCAGTTGTTGATTCTTTCTGCTAGTTCCCGTGCTACTGAGGATTTGTTCATAAAGTCTTTTCCTATACCAATGTCTTCCAGAGTTCTGCCTAACTTACTTTCCAGCAAGTTTAATGTTTCTGTTTTAATATTTAGATCTTTAATCCATTTGGATTTTAATTTAGTGCATGGCGAAAGATAAGGGTCTAATTTTAATCTGTGACAGGTTGATATCCAGTTTTTCCAACACCATTTATTAAAGAGGCTATCTTTCCTCCACTGAGGATGGTGAGCTCCTTTGTCGAAGATGAGGTAGCTGAGTACATCTGCATTTGTTTTTGTGTCTTCCAGTCTGTTCCATTGATCCTCAGGCCTATTTCTTTGCCAGTACCATGCTGATTTTATCACAGTGGCTTTGTAGTATAGTTTCAAATTGGGAATTGTTACACCTGGTGCCATGTGACTGTTGCCTATAATGGCTTTTGCTATTCTAGGTCTCTTGTGGTTCCAAATGAATTTTTGGATTCTTTTTTCTAGTTCTGTGAAATATAGTGTTGGAATTTCAATTGGCATTGCATTGAATGTATATAGCAGTTTCGGTAGTATGGCCATTTTCACTATGTTGATTCTTCCTACCCAGGAGCAGGGGATATCTTTCCATTTTTTTATATCCTCTTCGATTTCTTTTTTCAGAGTGCTGTAGTTTTCAGTGTAGAGATCTTTTGTTTCTTTTGTTAGATTGATTCCTAGATACTTCATTTTTTTGGATGCTATTGTAAAAGGAATTTTTTCCCTTATTTCTCTTTCTGTCTGTCTGTTATTTGTGTATAGAAAGGCTATTGATTTTTGGGTATTCACCTTGTATCCAGATACTTTACTGAATCTGTCAATTAAGTCTAGAAGTTTTTTGGTGGAGTTTTTTGGATCTTCAATGTAGAGTATCATATCATCAGCAAATAATGATAGTTTAACTTCTTCCTTTCCTATCTTTATTGCTTTAATTTCTTTCTCTTGTCTAATTGCTGTGGCTAATGTTTCCAGAACTATATTGAAGAGAAGTGGCGATAGTGGGCATCCTTGTCTTGTTCCTGATTTTAACATGAAGGTTTTCAGTTTTTGGCCATTCAATATGATGTTGGCTGATGGTTTTTCATAAATAGCCTTTATTAAATTGAGGTATAGACCATCTATTCCAATTTTTTGCAGGGTTTTTATCATGAATGGGTGTTGAATTTTATCAAATGCTTTTTCTGCATCTATTGAGAGGATCATATGGTTTTTGTCCTTGACTTTGTTAATATAATGTATTACATTCACTGACTTTCGTATGTTGAACCACCCTTGCATCTCTGGAATAAATCCGACTTGGTCATGATGGATGATCTTCTTAATAATCCTCTGTATTCTGTTTGCTAGTATCTTATTAAGGATTTTTGCATCTATATTCATTAAGGAGATTGGTCTGTAGTTCTCCTTTTTGGTTGTATCTTTCTCTGGTTTGGGAATCAGAGTGATACTTGCTTCCAGGAATGAATTTGGAAGTATAGCTTCTCTTTCAATTTCATTGAAAAGTTTGAAGAGTAATGGTAGTAGTTCTTCTCTAAATGTCTTGTAAAATTCAGCAGTGAATCCATCAGGGCCTGGGCTTTTCTTTGTTGGTAAGTTTTTAATTACATTTTCAATTTCACTGATTGTGATTGGGGTGTTTAAAATGTTTTTATCTTCTTCGTTCAACTTTGGTAATTCATAAGTATCTAGAAATCTGTCCATTTCTTCTGTGTTTTCCATTTTATTAGAGTACAGGTTCTCAAAGTAGGTGTTCATGATCCTCTGGATTTCTTTCGGATCTGTTGTGACTTCGCCTTTTTCATTCCTAATTGCATGGATCTGAGCCTTTTCTTTCCTTTTTTTGATAAGATTAGCTAAGGGTTTGTCAATTTTATTTATTCTTTCAAAAAACCAGCTCTTTGTTTCATTTATTTTTTGTATCGTTTTCTTAATTTCAATTGCATTGATTTCTGCTCGGATCTTTATAATTTCCTCTCTTGTTCGAGCTTTGGGTTTTTCTTGCTCTTGTTTTTCTAGGAGTCTAAGTTTCATCGTTAAGTTGTTTATTTGAGCCCGCTCTGTTTTCCTAGTGTGGGCATTCAATGTTATGAATTTTCCACGTAGAACTGCTTTCATTGTGTCCCAAAGATTCCTGTATGTTGTATTGGCATTCTCATTTATTTGTAAAAACTGTCTAATTTCTTCTTTAATTTCCTCTGTAATCCATTGATTGTTTAGGAGAGTGTTGTTCAGTTTCCATGTGCTTGTGAAGTTTCTATAGTTTCTTGTGCTATTGATGTCTAGTTTGATTGCACTATGATCTGATAATAAACAGGGGATGACTTCAATTTTTTTGCATTTATTTAGACCTGTTTTGTGAGCCAGTATGTGGTCTATTTTGGAGAATGATCCATGTGCAGCCGAAAAGAATGTATATTCTGGTTTTTGGGGGTGGAATACTCTATAAACATCTATTAAGTCCATGTGTTCCAAAGCTTGGTTCAGTTCTATTATTTCATTGTTGATTTTCTGCCTAGTAGATCTGTCAATTTGTGATAGTGGGGTATTTAAATCCCCCACTACAATTGTATTAGTGCTTATTTGGTTTTTCATGTTACTTAATATTTGTTTTATATAGTTGGGGGCATTTATATTTGGTGCATATATGTTTATGATTGTCAGCTCTTCCTCTTGAATTGTTCCCTTTACAAGGATGTAGTGTCCTTCTTTGTCTCTCTTAATGAGTTTTGGTTTGAAATTTACTTTATCTGAGAATAAGATTGCTACCCCTGCTTTTTTCTGGACTCCTGACGCATGGAGAATTGTTTTCCATCCTTTCACTTTCAGTCTATGGACTTCCTTTTGATACTTGCTTATTAATTGGCTCAGAAATTATACTATAAGAGGAAGATCATTGTATATTTATTTATTCATCTATTCTACAAGTGTATTTGAGTACCTATTAGATATAATATTCTTAGCTAGCACCAGAGAGAGGAAAAAAATTTACCTTCCCGGAGAACATCTAAAATTTTCCTTTTGGGCTTGTTTTCTGATTTGGGGCATAGGTTGGCTCCTAAATAACATTGTGCAGTTTAATTCCTACTTGATATCTCTTCTACCATCAAAATATACTCAAGAGCTTGTTGAGGTAAAATAATATTAGTGTATGAAATTAGCTGATAAATTTACCAAGCTTGCTTAAAGTTTATAAATAGTAAAATAAAAATTAGAATTAAGTGACAAAATTAGAGGAAAAAATACTAAAGACTAAAATCTTAAAATTCCCTCTAAATGTATGCTTGCCTGGGCTTTGGTGGTCTTTTCTATTTTACAGTCACTCACAGTGGGTGGGACAGGAAGAAGAGTGAAGGAAAATGTCAAACACAGAAAGGGCAAACTTCGTTGTTCTGGATTGGTTTCAAGAATATTACCAGCTCAAGGTCTAAATTGGGATTATTTTGTGCTCAGTTTAGCAGCACATATGCTAAAGTGGGGTTACTTTTTAGTGAATGCAGTTTAAAACCTGATCGTTATTGAGTTGAAGAACTGATTTGTTATGCACTTCTGGGAAATAATTATTTTTGTCCAAATGGTTACCAACTAAGCCTTGGATTAGATAAGAATGGATTTAATTGAATCAATGTGGCCCTTTTATCATAAGGTTGTCTTAAAACAGAAGGCAGAATGTCCTGAAAAATAAGGGGGCCTTATAGTTCATTCTAGTTCATACATAATTTCAAAGCATCTAAAATAGTTTCCATGGCAAGCCAAGAATGACATCCATAAGTAGAGAAGGAAATAGATAAATGGCAAAAAAAAAAAAAAAGTA